AAATCAAACTCATGACTTATTATTTGGTCATACAAGAATCAAACAATTGTGAACTATATGTTTATTTTTTATGTAAATTTATTTGCTAATATATTTATTAAATTATACTACTTTAATCTTAATACAATAGTCTTGTTTAGTATTTTTGTCTGTTCCAAAACAATAGTCTCATTTTCATAAATAATCATATCACTATAAAACTACCCTGACTTTTTCATTATTATTATACAATTGCCACTACTTTTTACACTAGTACACTTACAAGGGCAAAAAAGTCTTTTACTCATATTTTTTACTCAGTATCAATATAATATCAATATTCCTTAAATCTCGTGTCAAAAATAACCCAATTTTGGAACGGATGGAATATATTTTTTTTAAAAAAAAATTAATGTACATATTGGGGCACGGTCCAATTTTGATGAGTTTGGGCAGCCTGGTTTAGACTCCTACTGGACTAAGCACAATTGAATTCTTTAAAAAATGTTTTTTTTAAGTTCAAACACAATTTTTTTTGTAACGGACTCCGATTGAATTTCCAGACCATATCTATTTTTACCAACTCTGCTATAATTTTTTTCTCTTACTAATTTTGTTAAAACACTAAAAACAATACATCATATATATTTTTTTAAATTCTTTTTTATTTTTATTTTTTTTCATACATCCATTCGTGGTCAAACTCGAAATCTAACCTTCAAGCAAAAAATGCCTCCAAACCTTGTCAAAATTTGTTGTTAAGTTGTCAAGACTGTGTTTGCACTTTGCATCAAGCATATGACTGTATTGTGTATTGTCAACGTTGATTTATTAACCTAACCAACCTCTATGAATTACTCTATGTTATAATTTTATTTTATAAAAATATAAAATAGATAACCCAATACTCCTATTTAATTAATAAAATGATAAATACAAATAAAATAAAATAATAATAATAATAATAATAATAATAATAATAATAATAATAAATAAATAAATAAATAAATAAATAAAAACCGAGATTGGTGGGGATAGGAGAAAAATGATCGAGTGTATGTACTTCATTCAACTCTTTTATTGGACTGTCTCTCTCTCTATCTTTGAATAATTCTTCGAAGCACCTCTTGCTTGAGCCTAAACGACTCTCACAATTTGGTCAATTTTGGCAATAAATTAAAATATAAGACTACTAATTATAGCAGCTGAAATTTAAAAAATATACTCCTTCTATCCCATAACTATATATTCATTTGCTTTTTGTACGTCGTTTTAGAAATATTAGTATTATATTAGAACGTAGTATGAATAAAGTAGAAATAACTCAAATAACCTTATTAGTATTGTGTGATATAAAAATAATGATATTTGTGTAATATATTGTAAGTTGTAAGGGTATTTATAATGTTAGATAGATAATACAGTTACTATAAAAAATGAATACTTAGTTATGAGACAACTAAAATAAAAAAATAAAATTTAAAAAGAACTTCGTAAAAGAAATTAGATTAAATTCCCAAACCAATTTAAACATTTTTATTTCATATTTTTTTATATAATTTGTTGAGTCGTAACTCTATGGGTAAATTGTACGATATGTATTGTGTTTTTAGTATAAATACATAAATATCAGGGTGTGTTTGTTTGAGAATTGGATTTTAAATACACTGTTCATTCTATTTTTTTTCTCTCAAAACTATCAAATCAAACACCTTTTTTTTTTTTTTTTTATTATACTAAAAATCGATTTTTACATTCAAAACATCACATCAACGCCTATTTATATCATATAATACACTATTCAAATTCAAAATTTTTACTGTTCAAATCATAACTCAAAATCCAACCCCCAAACAAACACACCCTTCAATATTTCTTGAAATTTTTTATATTAAATTAAAGTAAATACAAATCACTATCTATATCCATAGTTAACGTATAATTCTAAACATTAAATTAATTATGCAACTTTTATATACATAAAAGAATTTAAATATCTTAAATAGTTTTATTTAAATAGAATAAATAAATAAATAATTGATCACTTCTTTTATTTTATATTTTTTTTTAAAAAGAAAAAACAAAATTAGATTCATTTCTAAAAAAATACTCCCTCCGTCCCAAACTAATGTGCAACATTTACTTTTGGCACGAGTTTTTAGGTGAGTAGTATTAAGTAGAATAATTTAGAAATTAGGTGATGTGATGGAGAGAGAAATATATATTTTATTTTTTTATTTGGATGATGTGAGGGGATAAAGTGTGGGGCAGAGATTAAGTATAATTAATTATTTCATACTTTAGAAATGTTGCAGAGTGTTTGGGACATACCAAGAAAATATTGCAGGTGTTTGAAACAGAGTGAGTATTAAATAAATAATTGATAAATTATTTAGTTATATCATTTATCTTTTTAATTTAAAATAAAAGAGACTTCAACAACAAATAAAATACTATTTGATTTGTCTCATATCCATCTATCCGTTTTTTACACGGAGTTTTAGAAATATTAGTATTATATTGTAATATAATATAAATAAAAGTAAAAAAAACTCAACTAACCTTATTAGTATTATGATATAAAGTTAATGACATTTATGTAATATATTGTAAATTAAAAGGGTATTGTAATGTTAGGTAGATAATACAGTTACTAAACAAGAAAATATATATTTTGTTATGAGACGGACCAAAATAAAAAAATAGATAAATTATTATTTAATATACTTTGCAATATATATTTTTTATTATCCAACATATTTTTTAATATTTTTGAAATAAAAAATAATTATTTCTCTACATACTACATTTTATTTTATCACATCACCTAAATAGAAAACTCAACACATTTTTTTTCTATTTTATAACATAATTTTTAAATTATCATACTTAATACTCCCTAGACACGAAGTTTTAGGTATTGTATACTTAGTAAGAATTAATAAAAATAATTATAAATTAAAATTAAAATAAATAAATAATTTAATTATAATAAAAAAGTATAAATTTTAAAATATAATTATATTTTTAAAAAAATTGTGCCAAAAATTAAATATCTCACATTATATCTGAGAAGAGAGTACATAGTACTTTTTATATTTTTGCTAAAAATACAAATGGTATTTTCTTTATTCAATAACAAAATAATTATTTTAAAAATATTTTAATTTTTATAAATATTTTAATGTTGTCATCTTATTTACTAATTTTATCTTATTATTAATTTTATATAGAAAAATAAAAATAAAATTATTTTTATTATTATTATTTTTAACTATTCAGCAGAGGGAGTATATATTCTGAAATTGGACTGAGTTATAATTATACTGTGTGTTTGTTCGGGAGATTCGATTGAATTTACTCTATTCATCTAATTTCTCCACAAAAAACATCAAATTAAATATCTATTTTTTATTTTTTATATTATACTAAAAATCAATTTTACATTCAAAACATCGTATCAACACCTATTTATATTACATCATACAATTATTCAAATTCCAAATTTTTACTGTCCAAATCACAGCTCAAAATCCAAAACTCAGACAAACACACCCTAACTATAATTTGCTTTAATTCTAATAATATTCGTGTTTGTTTGTGTCTTGGAGAGCAGACGAGACATGTGCATTGTAGCGTCAGTAGGTTTCTCGTGTATTTTCTTTGAGCTCCAGGGAGTCCCACGCCAAATGAATTATTTCGTTTGTAAAAGGTGAAGATCGATCTGGTGTCGAGGTCCATGGAGCTTACATGAACAAGAGCTGCATAGTCCTTGCTCCCAATCCAATAATTGAGTGATGGCAATAGTCCAAGTTTAGCTGCATAATAATCTGTTTGGGAACCCGAACCCAACTAAAAATACACAAAATACAAATTCCCTTTCCATAATTAAAAATAAAAATATTTTAAAATTTTAATTAAATTCAAAATTATGTACTTCCAATGTCTCCGTTCAATTGACACTTTTCATCAGTGACATAGTATTTAAGACAATAATATTTAATTAATTAATAATAATGATTTATAATACTCTCTTCGTCCGTCTTTAAAAATTACATTTATTTTTTGCAAGATTGTATTTAACATTAAAAATATCCTTATATTTGTATAATTATTTTTTTTACAAATGTCTATTTTTGTAATTTTTTCTTAATTTGTGCTACATTTTGATATAGTAATTAATATTAAAATATCAACACTCAAAAAGTAAATGAGATCCTTAGAGTCGGACGGATGTAGTATTATTTTATTATTTTTTATGTAATTAATAATATTGATAGTTTTAAAATAAATTTAATATGTATATGATTAAAAAATTAGAATATATATTTAAATATTTTAAAAATTATATTGCAATTAAAAAATATGCAATATGAATATCATTTTGTAAAGAATAAAATTTTCTATAATACTAAGTAAATAAAAAAATATATTTATTTATTTATAATTATCATAAACTAATTTTATAAAAAAATATGAAATTTTAAAAATAAATAAAATATTTATTTTCTTATAAAAATAAAAATATTTTGAGTGGATTCTATGATATTATATATTATTCGTTATCCAATTATATGTTTATTTTATCGGGTACAGATAAATAGAAACTTCTTTTTTGGTAAATAAAAGGTAAAAAAAATTAATATTTTTTACTAAAATTAAACTAGAATAAGTTTAGATAACAAAAAAATATTATACAATTAATTAAATTAATTTATATTTATTAAATATATTTTAATTTAATAACTTTTATAAAATAAAATAGAAAATTATCAATTTATTATGGACAAACAAAAATTTAAAAAAAAATGAATTAAGTTTGAACGTATAAAAATAAATAAAAAATTATCCTATAGAATTTAACACGTGTGGACCATGGGCAGCGTCGATCGCACGCTTTAAGTCGCCGCACTCGGTTTTCTCATACTCACCGCGGCTGAGGCTGACCCAATTTATTACCAAACATGTCCCCACTCGTATTATCAGTTATCAATTTTTTCGATTTCCCATTTCTTTGCATCGAACCGCCCCCCTACCCCCCCACCCCCCTTATCTCTTTCTCGCTCTAGCATTTCTGCTCTCTCTCTCTCTCCCCTTTAATTCTGGGAGGAAGAAAGAAATTCAGATCTGAAATATTGTGATCCTTCTTTTTTCTGCTGAAGATAATTTTGTGATTGTTTGATTGATTTTGTAAATTCATGTCGGCGTCTTCGACTTACTGGTGCTACAGATGCAACCGATTCGTGAGGGTTTGGAGCCAAGATTCGATTAATTGCCCCGATTGCAGCGGCGGTTTTGTGGAAGAAATCGATGCCTCCTCCAGATCCTCTCTGTCGGACTCGCGGCGGCGCCGCTTCCCCGCCGCCGCGATGTACATGATGCGGAACCCGGATTCGGACCCTACTCCTGGATCGGGTACGGGTACGGTGCGAGGGTCAAGCCCTAGGCCGAGGAGAAGCCGTAGGAACGGGGGCGATCGGTCGCCGTTCAATCCTGTCATCGTCCTCCGTGGCTCCAACGAAGGAGGCGGCGGATCTGGCGGCCGGGCGGCCCCCGGCGGTGGATTCGAACTGTATTACGATGATGGATCCGGGTCGGGTCTGCGCCCGTTGCCGGCGAGCATGTCGGAGTTTCTTCTCGGGTCTGGATTCGACCGGCTGTTGGATCAATTGGCCCAAATTGAGGCGAACGGGATTGGGCGAATCGACAACAACCCGCCGGCGTCGAAGGCGGCGATTGAATCGATGCCGACGATAGAGATAATCGATCAGCACATCGACGTCGAGGAGTACTGCGCCGTCTGCAAAGAGGCCTTCGAATTGGGGGCGGAAGCGCGGGAGATGCCCTGCAAGCATCTCTACCATCAGGACTGCATTCTGCCATGGCTGACTCTGAGAAACTCCTGCCCCGTCTGCCGCCACGAGCTGCCTACAGACAATAACGAGAACAGCAACGCCGCCGCCGGAAACGTAGATGGTAACAGAGGACACAATGAGATAGGAAACGACGACGAGACGGTTGGATTGACGATATGGAGATTACCTGGCGGCGGATTTGCCGTCGGCAGGTTTTCCGGTGGGAGAAGAGGCGGGGAGAGGGAATTGCCGGTGGTGTACACCGAAATGGACGGCGGATTCAACAACAATGGCGTCCCGAGGCGGATTTCGTGGGGTTCGAGAGGGAGTGTGTCGAGGGAGAGGGTTGGATTGAGGAGATTCTTGCAGAGAATGTTTGGGTGCTTTGGTAGAGCTGAATCGTCGCATTCGAGCTCGAGTTTAGATTCTAGAATGAGCGTCACTAGCCGGGGAATGGCCTCAGTGTTTAGCTCTGCCTCTAGACGACGTAGAGGTTGGGGTTTTGAAGTTAACGACGAGGGTGATAGGAGATGGTGAAGCCCGAGTGGGTTTTATATATGTATATAGTCGGGGATGATGGATGATGGATGATTGGTGGTTCTTGGTATTCGATTTTGCTGCAGCGCCCTTAATGGCAATGGCAATGGCGGGGAATGTAGGTAGCGAAAAGTGGGGATGGGGTATGGAGGGGTGGGCGGGGAATGGGTTCCGAATTGATAGGTCCTCTAATGGTAGAACTGGCCCTGCTTCGCGAAGGTTATTTCAATTTTAAGGATTTAAAAATTCACTGTGCTCTTATTACTATCTTGGTGCTATATGTAGTTTACTTGTTATAATGCGATTATTGTATGCTTCGTTTTGTAATTCTTCGAAGTCTTGATGCTGTGGATAATTTTCTTGATGGGCATTTTGTTATCCGTTCTTTTGTGCATATGTTTTGTTTAATTATGATTGATGTCATTCGGAAAAGTGTGTTGCTTTTGTTTGTTTGTTTGTTCGTGACGTCGATGATGGTGAGTTTGGTTGTTGGCCTTTATCCTTTCTTGATTTTTTTGGATTCATTCGAACATAAATGAGTATGTCCGAGGATCGTGTCTTTATGACGTATCTTGATGTTATGTGTAGTTTAATTGCAGCATGCGAGATGAGATCGATGACTGAGTTACTTTTTGATACGGAAGGATTCATTCGACGGTTCTTGACCCAACAAACAGCCATTTTGTACCTGTTCTTGGTTGGTTCTCTCCTAATTAGGTAAGTAGTAATTCTTGGTTTTGAAATTGATTTTAGTTTTCCATATTTCATTTTATTGGTATATGTATTAGTGTGAAGTGATTCTATATTTTTCTTTTTAGAGAAGTATTATGGCTCCATTCAGATATATTTGACTTGTCTAAGATTTTTAAATTTAAATTATTTTGAATTGTAAAATGTGACATGTTATCCTTGGCCAAAAATTATGGCATCAAAAGGTTTTCTTTTGGCTCATGGACTAGGCTTTAATCTATATTTTAGAGGATAAACATCAAAACACTAGGGTCTGTTTGGTACAGAGAAATGAGGCCAGAGAAATGGAAATGGTCTCATTTCTCTTGTTTGTTTGAGTTAGAGAAATGGAACTTAAAAAATACATCATTTTTATTTCTCTGTTTTTATTGGAGAGAAATGATGTTCCTGTATATATTTTTTAAATCTTTTTTGTACTATTTAATTTTTATAATTTTTTAAAATTATATTATTTCAATTTTACAAAAATTAAATTCAATTTATTGTTAAAGTATTTAACTTTTACGATTTTTAAGAAATTGTATTAAAATATAATTTTAAAAAAACATCGTATATATTTTATAATTTTTTAAAAAAAGAAATTATCAAAAATATTTTCCATGAATTCTCATTCGTTAATTTTTTTTTATCTACTTAATTATTTATTCTTATTTTATCCATTTATATATCTATAATTTTTTTATATTTTTCGACTGAATTTTCTATTTTACCAAATAGGAGAATTAATTTTTATTCTCTAGTCAATTTCATTTCTCTCAAATTCCATTCCTTACTTTCGTCTCTATGCAATTTTATTCTCTATAACGAACGTCGTCTATGATATGATATAAATATATATTCTTTTATTATATATATATATTGCTTCCAGTATTTTTCAGAGCTTAAATTTATGTATTTCTTTTTCATTATTTTCTAAGCTTTATTTCTTCTAGTCAATTTAATTGTTTTGATTGCATTTTTGTTTATTTTTGAATGATCAAATGTGAGACTGTATCAAGATAAATTTTTGAGTAAACCCGAGAATTTTATATTCACGCAGCATTTTTAGATGGATTGATATTTGATGTGACACGTGGAATTATGTCAAAAGTATAAAATACTCCTTTCATCCCATTGAAATATTGTTATTTTCTATTTTTGTCAGTCGATTGTACTATCTACTTAACATATTAAATACATTTTTAACTTATATTATATTACACAACGCAAAAAGTAAACGACAACCTTGCATTGGGACGGAGGGAGTATATTATATTAATATTTGATTTTTTTGATATTTTGTAATAAGTATTTGAAGTTTTTTTATCTTTTAAAAAGTTTTTTACTATTATTTATTACTTCATCTGTCTGTCAATTTTATTTTCATTTTTTTTAGTCCGTTTTGGCCAAGTCAACAAATCAAACGTTTAATTATTATTATTAATTTAACACTTATTTAAAATAAATACTACTGATTTTATTAAATTCTTGCTCTTCGTTTACTTTACTTTTTAATTAAATTTTCAAAATTATCCCCAATTATCTATCATTTTTTTTAATAAAAAATATATATTTTTTTAATTCCCGAGAAATTGCAATTGAAAATTTGTGTTGGAAGAACAAAGTCCATCCTGCTTCTGAGCCCTTAACCTTTGATACTAAAATGTCATATTTATTTTTCCCAGTGATGATCCTACAAAGGGAGAAGGAACCTAAGATTTAGAGATGGTGCGTCAGCCTCGAATAGCAATGGCATTGACATGTAAAAGATAGTAGCTCTGTCGAAGGCTTTCTCCCTTCAAAGAAGGCCAGAATAAAAAAGTCTGGTGGTCGTAAGTAGTGTCGTGGTGTGGGGATTGGACTTGTGACGGTGAGGTCATAGGTTTAAATCCGATGTTTCAGGTTACCTGTCACACATGATTCGCTAGTGTAACTTGTTTGTCGGGCCTAGTTTGCAGGGTATTAGGTGCGGTTGGGGGTTTATCCGGTGTGCACTTTCGGGTAGCAGCATCAAAGTTTAACCCCTTTGGTGGTATTTATTTAACGGTATTTGATTTAAATGCGCACGAACTGCGAATAAATTTTAGAATTTCAATTTCTAAACCCTTAAAATTTTAAATATATTTATTTTTCTTTTAACCTTAAAAAAATAGTAAAATTTATTTGCAATTTGACTAATTTAAATCAAATATTAAATAAAAAAGACCCAGCACCAGTTTCAAATTGAGTTATGCTTGGGCTTACATTTCTAGGCCCAATCTCGAATCGGACTATGCCAACCCAATACGATTCAAAATTGGGTTGAAGGACCGTCCCAACCCAATACAATTCAAAATTGGGTCGAGCCGGCCCTAATTATTAGCCCCACTGGCTCTCTATCCAATGCATTTTGGGTGTTAAGAGGTTCTGAAAAATTATTTATAATTTACTTGTGTTTGTAAAACTATATCATTCTCTTTTATTACTTAAAAGTTATACTCCTTCGTTCATAAATATAGTCTTAATTGGATTAGACACGAGATTTAATAAATATTGATATTATATTAATAGTTGGTAAAAAATATGAATAAACGACTTTTTTGTCTTTGTGTGAGTGTATTAATGTAAATAGTAGTGACAATTGTGTAATAAAAATAAAAATTAAGAGTATTTTATGGTGATATGGTTACTTATAGAAATAAGACTATTGTTTTAGAACGGATAAAAATAATAAACAAGTTGGACGGAGGGGGTATATGATTTTCTTGTATTTTAGACAACATTGCACAAAACTATCCTAAAAATTGCGTAAGAGTCCATCGTGTTTTTTAAATTATTGAATAATAATATTTTTGGATAAATTGCATAATATTTCTTGTGTTTTAGTATAAATACACATCAGATTATGATAGAAATAAAACAGGTAAAATATTCTATAGTTTTATTTGAATATACAAATAAATAAAGAATTGATTAATCATTTATTTTATATATTTTTTTTAAACATTAGATAAATATTTGATAAATTATTTAGTTATTTTTTGTTTTTAAAAAATACTATTTAAATATTTTATCATTTTTAATTAAGTATGTATTTATAATTAAATATTAGCTGTGAAAAAACTATATATTATGCATAATTTAATCTAATATAAAAAATTTTATGTAATAAATAAAATATAAGATATTCTATAGTACATATTTATTAAAATCACACAAAAAAAAAAAATTAAAACTTAATGAAAAATTTAACTCATGAGCGAAAAGGATGCAACTTTTAAACTATAACAGGGATTATGAGCAAATTTATCAAATTTTATTTGTTTAAAAAGAATTATTTAAAAAATAATAAATGAATAATGAGAAATTGCCAACGTTCCGTTTATGTTTGGTCAGTTGACACCTGGAAAATACTTTATGCACAAACTCCTACCTAATTTGATATTTTATTATTTATTTTTTTTAAAAAAAAATATTTTGTATATAAAAATTTAAAATATTTAAAAATTATTTTCCGGGCCACATTTACTTTTAAAAAAAAATATATAAACTAAAATTTATGTAATAATCATGCTGGTGACGCAAAGCCCGATTGCACAGGACCAATTATGGCCCAAGTTTTTACTTGTGCCGAGCCGGCCCGGCCCAAATCATTTTCAAGCCTAATTTTGAAGCCCAAGCACTTAATTTTTGTGCGGAATCAGAAGTACTGTACTTAGAAGTTACATTAAAAAATTGTCATTTTTCATTTTAAAAACAAATGTTACTATTTCTTAATTTAGCAATTATATTATATATTTAATATAATAAATACGATATATTATACAATACTCATAGGAGGCAATTTTTCTCTTTTTATTACATAATATTAATATTAAAAAATCTACATGCAAAAAATAAACGTCGATGGGGACAGAGTGAGTATTTGATTCCATGCAGCAATGGTCTCTTAAAATTTTATCCATTCATCAATAGAATTCTGCCTATTATTCCCTTCTCTCCAAAAAGAGTCTATGTTGAAGATTTTACTGACATTTTTCTTCTTGATATTACAGACATATATTTACACAGCTAACATGGCCTCTAGCTCAAATACCACTCAACTAAGAACTTGCAAGAAAAATTGTGACAAGTGATATCAGATTCTGTATATGAATGTTAGTGAGGTTTGTGCATCAAGATGACAAGCAATGAAAAACACCCAAATTCAAGAAATTGTAAACAAATAGAGAGTATGCCACGCAATCACCGGGATTCTACTAGGAAGGCGAACGAGCAAATATACAAAGGCAACATTTATTTTGTACGGTCAAGTTGTAATCAAAAGCATTTGTATTTTTTCCAAATTTGCAGGATTGCCAATTCTTCCAAGTAAGGCTAGTTAACCAACCAGAAGGAACAGCAAAGATATAAAATGCGACACAACGTAGAACTTGCAAGAATAAAGCAGTGACGGAGATGAAGCTTTAATTATTCAAGCAATGTCGAGCATATCCAATGCTTAAAAACAAACGGTTTGTTATAAAAAAACGGATACTAACATGACCCCGATTACACGAATGGGAAGAAGTAGTGGCAGTTTCATCCTCTAAAGCAGACCATGAATTTTATGAAATTAGAAATAGGCCCAGAGTGTAAGGATCCCTACCTTTACTCGGGTTCCGTATTTATCCACATATAGATAGCACAAGGAGTTTACAAGTTTTCAATCACATGGAAAGGTCTTACTTATTTTTTTTTATTCTATGAAATGCATGCATGAATGTAAACTCAAGTAAATACTTTTCATTTATAAAAATAGAATCTCAACCCTTTCGTTTAATTCACAACATTCTCTAGTAGTCCAACAAGAGCATGCAATCACGCAATGAAAATAACCGAAGTGTATGCATCACAGCAATATTTTCACTTGGACAAATATATATGTATATATATATATATCTCCATATATATTGTCTGTGTCATCATCCTCAACCTCTGATCTCTAATGACCGGAAAAAAATAAAATAACTAACCATTACGTACAGGCAACATATCTGAGACAGCTGCATTTTGATGCCCCTTTTTGCTAGTGAACCCACCAATCATATGCACCTTGCTTCTTCACAAATATGTCGTTGTATTCAGGTCTTGAGGTCTGCATAACATTTCAGATATATGAATTGGTATCAGATGCATTTCAATGAACAATTGAAGGAAAACAAACATGAACATTCACTAAGATCTGAACTTTGAATAAAATTTGGAATTGGATAATTTCTAAGCACGAAAATTCACTGACTTCATTATAATTGAGACTAAATGCATTGGATAAAAAAATTAAAAACAAAGTACGAAATGCATCGCACAACACAACCATGGAAATATAGGAAAACTTTAATACTGTAGGAACAAAAATTACGCAGCCAGCAACTCTTAATTTCTTACGGAGTTCATCCACTAGTTAAATTGTTCTTTCATACATGTTTCCTCGTTTATAGCACAGTAGGACTACTTTTTTTTTCTTTCCGTTATTTTACCAGATGCTTGATTACCATGGTGATCCCGAATCAGAATAAACGGAATCTAGGTAAATTTAACGCAGAATAGAGGTATGGATAAAATCGGAGGCATAAATCTAACCAGATCCTTGAAGATGAGGAAAGCAACGAAGAAGAAAAGGACGAAGAGGATCTCGAACTCGGCAAAGCGGACAAAGGCGAACACCGAATTGACCGTACGAGTCAACAGCGACGGCGGTGACGATGCCCATCCTTCCCTTCTCCGGCGGACACCTTCCGTCCCGATCATCCCAGCTGCACTCGGCCTTTTCGCCATTCCGAAGATGGAAATGATTTCTTCTGTATAAGTAAAGGTCAAATTTAGGAATTTTCTGGCTCCGATTTTTGCCCTATTTTTTCAGAAGATTGAATTTTAGCGTTATGGTTTTTTTTCTTTTTTTTTTTTTTTAAGTTATTAAGCACTCCAAGAAATAATAAGAATAATAATAATAATAATAGTTATGGAGTCTCTTATTTGGTTATTTATTGGCCTCATTTACAATTTTACTATTATTCTTTATAGACTTTGAATTGAACTTTGTTATGTATTTCGAAAATATATTTAGGGTGTGTTTGTTTGGGGATTGGACTATTCATCTAATTTTTTTTCCCCAAAAATATCAAATTAAACACTTATTTTTTATTTTTTTATATTATACTAAAAATCAATTCTTCATTCAAAACATCACATCAACACCTATTTAGATCTCATCGTACAACTATTCAAATTCAAAATTTATACTATTCAAATCTCAATTCAAAATCCAAATCCCAAAACAACACACATATCTACAACACACATATCTAAGTATATGTATGTTTTGTTTTATTCTTTAAAAAAATAATTAAAAAAAAATGATTACACTCACATTTTATTGTGAAAAAAAAAAAAAAACAGCAACTCATTGTCCATATTTTTTATTCTCATTGTGCGATTCCGAAAAATATCCTCCGAGTTGTTCGAAGGATTGAAACCGCCATGGTGTATGAAATTCTCATACGCTTCGACGATGAGTCCATGTTGGGGTGCAAACCCAAGTCCCACGTCGGAAGCTGTGAAGAAAATTATACCTTATAAGTTCCAAATAAACTCTACTAGAATGAGACCTTTTGAAGAATATCCAAAAAAAAATCCGTGCGGATTCAGCCCAAAACAATATCATATGGATGTACAAGGTGGGAAATTACAATTGTATTTTCAAATCTTATTTTTTTTTTAATTTAATAAGGTGTAGCCTTTGTTCCCTTTATTGTGTATTTAGTTGCCGAGAAACTTGTGTTTACCAATATTTATGTTGTTTGTACTTGTGTGTTCATTGCTATTTTTGGTAATGTATATCTTTGCTGCCATGTAAGTAACATTTATATACTCCCACCATCCCACCGAAACTGAATCATTTGATTAAGGACATGGTATTTAATATTTAAAGCAAAACTGTTTAATTAGTTATGATATTATTTTTTATATAATTAATAATATTTATAGTTTAAAAGTAAATTTAATATATATGATTAAAAAAATCAAAATATATGTTTAAATATTAACTATATTTAATTTTTTTTTTTTACAGAATTCATAATTATCCCGATTTGTCATTTCTTATTTTCATAATGAGGTTGACAAACTAAACGAGAAGATTTCAATCGGACATGTTTATTCCTACTCCAACAACTATATATTGCAGGCAACCAACTCAAGACACAGACAATGTTACTAGGAATAATATGTTGCACCAAAATGGGATATTATCAAAAACTGGTTTCAAAAGATGAGTGAACTACTGAATAGAGAGAGTAATATGATCAAATTACCAGAAAGATCGATAATCAGTCGCCGCCCTTTTGTCTGAGAGTGATTTTGTCGCCCAAGCTGAGAGCAATTCCCTGAGTCTTGCTCCGAATTCTAATATATCCATCGAGTTTGCTGTCTGTTAGTTTCTCGATGCAGACATTTACCAAAGCATCTTCCCCGAAGACACTCCTGGCGTACAAGTTAGCAGCCAAGAAGCCACTTTCGCCTTCTAGAGCAGATCTAGAAATGATCGACAAAAACGATAGGTGCATTAAGAAAGGGACACAAGTTTTGCTTATTTGGAGCAACTTCAGATAAAAATACAATGCGAAAGGGATTCATATATGATGAAACTAATTAGGTAAATATGTTGAGCTCATACTAAACTAGTCGCCGATGAAAGTTCTGCTAGTGATTCCGTTTGTGAAAGAATTCAGCAGTAAAAGGGATACTATAGGGAGATGTATTTCTTTTCAACTCATCCAAAATTTTAGTCACTCGTTTGCAACCTCATATGCATCGGTATATAATTATATTTGAATTAAACTATTGTGACTAAGACAAACAAACTAAAAGAATGTCACACTTTTCTTATATTGTGCTACAGTATGAGATTATACTCCCTCCGTCCCATATCTATTTATCCGTACGATATAAAACGATATAAAAGTAATGACATTTATGTAAAATATTGTAAATTGAAATGATATTTGTAACGTTAGGTAGATAGTATAGTTACTAAAAATAAAAATAAATACTTTGTTATGGGACGAACCAAAATGAAAAAATGAATAATTTTTTAAAGAACGGAGTTAGTATATAATTCTTGGGCAATTTAAGCCTACTTGGAATATAAATTAAAGTATATGAGAAAATAAAAGAATGACTTACGGTGCAGTCAGGCATTTCATATGGGTAGATTTGATTATGTGGTCGAGAAATTCTCTCTCGTCTGTAATTGTCGTGTTCACAGCAACCTAGGAAAAGAAATCAAAGGAGAACTTGTTAAAATAGAACAACCAAAGAGCACCAAATTGATAGGAGGGCAGGGAGAAACAAGAAAGCAACACCTAGAATAGATGAATAAATTATGCCCAGAATCATATTTACAAAAATAATAAACAAGACCATACAATAGTTTGTGGATGAAGATATAACAAAATATTGTTTCTTTAAAATGATGTAAATCAACAAGCCTGCAATCACACAAATGGAACTGGGAACTTGAAAATGCAGACATGAAATGGGCATACCAAATAAAGCATACTTAGATCATCAATATGTAGTCCAAAAACTCATTCTAGTGATGATAAAGAATCTAAATATCTACTGCATAAATCAATTATGTAGTATCATCGTTCGAAATTAATTATTGAATGCTTCATGAGAAAATTACAAATAAACTACCAATATTCTAGAAGTCAAGGGTGTGTAGGAAAAAATATTAAAACAAACAAACAAAAAAATGCCAAGCATTTTTTATCATTCATATCCAGATAGGTAATTACATCACCCAACACGTATTTATCATTCAATTTCACTACTCACAAAGCAACCAAATTACTAGAACACTTCCAAAATATATCTAAACACAGCCATAGTTTTGAAAAAGTTTAGACTCGACACAATGAACTTATTCACCACAAACAGTAAAGAACTAAAAGGTCGAACACCAGTGGGAAAAGTATTATTCTAGTAAATGAGATATTTGTTAAGTAAATTATTTGGGGAAACAAATAACTTAGATGTCAATATAGACATAAAAGTGATCGTATTACCTTGTTCTCCCATTCAAATTCTGCCCACATGGTTCTAAAAGCAGCATCACTGCACACGGCTGGTGATATGTAGTCCATGATATCAATGTGGATATCATTGAGGACAATAACAGTTCGCTCAAGCACATTTGAGGTCTCATAAACAATGTTGCCAAATATGATTCCAGTTTCAGTGGATGAGACCTTAATATTTGCTTTTATTTGCTTGCTAGACTGGGGTGCTAGAGTATAATTCTGAGGGCGCTCAACAAGCTTCAGATCACCCATTGTAGCCAACTCCAAACACAAATTCTGCAGAGTACTTTTTGTTCTATTAACAACTGTAACATCCAAAACAATATCATAATGGTGAACTGTCACATAAGCCTCAGCATATACAGGGTCACTGAATCCAGAAAGTTGAATGATGCGATTTAATTTATTTTCATCATCGGAATCTTTAACAAATTCCCCAGTAGCACGCTTAAGATCATCCTGAATCTCATCTTCCAGCTCTAGCTGACTCATGCCCTAAGCAAATAACACAATGAAAGGAATACAGGTATTAAATTTCAGCATCCAATAAAAACCTCAGGTATAAATATCACACCTGAGGTAATGAACTTATTGGTAATATTTTTCCACATTTACAGAATATGAATGTGAATTGATCATCGGCTTGATATGCTAAGAAAGTATGCAATCCCGAAAGAAAGGCATATAAAGCAAAGGAAAGAATGGATGCTGGTTCAGTTTTAAAACCATAGATTAGTAAATTGATAAAAAAAACAGTAAGGAAGACATTACAAGAGAATCCTAAAGCAGAATAACGGAGCATAACAAGGGCAGGTAAAGATGGGAATACAGTGCTGGTTCCAACTCAACTAGAAAAATATATTGATTTCAAATCCAAGACATGTATGCAAAGCATCCCAAATAAAAGGATTTTACCTTGCGACTCTTCAAATGGTAAAAATCAATGAGGTCATCAGGCTGTGAATGAGAAACCTGAGACTTAGCTTTGATTTCTTCAGTTTCACGCTGCTGTTTATCTGAAAGCATTTTGACAAAACTCTCATGGCAGGACTTCAACCAAATCTTCCTAATAGCATCCCCTGTATTGCACAGCAATCTTATGCAGAGAATAATCCTGTCATAAGAATCATTTTCAATTGGGTGCGGAAGAACTGAGGATTGCCCCAGCTGCAATATCGAAATCATAATTATCAACGCATCAGCTGATGCTTTGTTCGCTTCAATCTTTGATGGTTGAACCTCCTGCAATCTCAGAATGAGCTTTGTTAGAGTACATGCAACAATTGCTCCTAGGAAAAAATCTCCAGTAAGGAGGAGGGCTCTCAAATTTCCCAGGCTCAAAGATCCTTGAACTAAAGCAGGAGCTGAGAAAGCAGTTTCAGAGGCAGCACTTTGAGTGGCGTAAGTTCCATCTGCAAGGATGGCCGGTCTTCTAGATGAAACTGTCATTGAAGTTGGCTGTTGCACTTTCTTTGAAGATTCAGCTCCCTCCTTTTTCTCCTCATCCTCTGAAACCGAAAAGAAGGGTAAATCTCCAAGACATTGCTTTATTGTTGCAATGCCACTTTCGACTTCAGAAAGGGATAGACAATACTCCCCAATAATCCAAAGAGCACAGGTGCAAACTCTTGCTGCTCGTATCTGGTAAAAAGAATCCATAAGCCTTGTGATAATGGAAACCCTTAACTTAGGGCTGGTTTCAATAATCTCTCGCACAAAAACAATAACATCCGTCGCAGATGCAATGTTGTTGTCTCCCAAGAAATCCATCAATAAATGAACTACTGTGCTGGCTACTTCAGGGAATTTTATTGCACAAGAATGGATAGCCTGAATGAGCATCTGTCGGTACTCCCCATTCTTCTCAAGCTCCCCACTTTGAGTTTTCACAACTTCCTTTTTCAAAGTAAGAACCACCTCATTGACATTACGGGGTGTAATCAGTTCCAGAACAATGTCAAGTGTTTTCCTGCGGATATCAAGGTTAGGACTTGACAATGCCCTGAGAACATCCATTATCATGTCAAACATAATATCCCTGTGGAAAGATTTGAGTTCATTCAATCGATCAAGCACAATGAGCTTAACATTATTGTCACTCTGAGAGAGAAGAAGCTGACAATATGTATTTGCCGCAGCTCTGATAGCTGTGGGAGCAGAAGACAAAGAAACAAGTGTCCCAGCACAGTCATAAACAACAGCCGCTGAAGGAGCATTCAATAAAGAAATAATAATCTTGATATATTTTCCTTTTTCAGCTTTATTTGTCCTACAAACTTTCCGGACAAGCTCTAGAACAATCATCTGTAACTGTTCCCCCCAGCCCGACACTTTGTCAACATGAATCAATAGGTAATTAATAGCACGATCTTGGGCACAATTGAAGAGCATAAGAAAGGCATTCCTTTTGGCTGATGAATCCTGTTCTGTCGATAGAAACTTCTCCATTGTTTCTGGAGCATCAACCAAGAGCTGCTCACCTTGCGGGAGCTTGTAAATTGACATAACTGCAAGAATTGCATTTCTTCTGACATAAGGGTGGCGGTGCTCCAAGTTTGACATAATGGACGGGATCAAAGGTTCAATGATCTCCACTTCACTAAGCCGACAAAGGAATCTCAGTGTGACACCACAGATGTATTCATTAGGATGTTGTAGGTTATTCCGGAGATTCTGGCAGATTAAGATCATTTCTGGAAGCACACGACCCTTTCCATCGGTCTTATCAATTATCTCCAAATAGAGCAACAGCAACTTCTGAACAGTGTGATCCTCAGAGGGTAAAACATATCTAACTATAGTAATGAAAAGTTGAGGTAGAGTTTCACCATTGAGTAAAAGCATTATAGCATTTTTCATGGCATCAATCTTAGCTGGAAGATCATTTCCCTCTAGTGCATCCTTGATCTCATTAGATAGAGCCGGTGTGCCCTTGTCAAAATGTACGAGAAGAGAGCAAGATTTCTCCATTTTTGCTAGCTATCTGATCATTAGATTCATCATTTTACTAGCAGAACAAGAATCTACTTTCTCGATAAAATTTTAATAAACTTCAGAAACATTCTCCACAGCATAGATGCCTCAAAATACTAAAGTGAACAACAGCATTTTTCATGGTATTCGTGCATCAAATCTAGTAATTGTATATACTAACTTTCAAACTTCCGAATCAGCTCTAACTAGAACTCAAAAGATCAAGAAACATGAAAGTTGATGACATCAATTAATAAAATATTTTGACCGAAAAAAACTTCCAACATTCAACCACTCAAACGAACCATTCATCAAGGAATCAAGTATAGCAAATGGCTACTCATCATTGAATGTGTATCTAGCTATAATAACCCAAACGAGAACTTCGTAAATTTAAATATCAACTGCATCAGAAATATACAAAAATTAATCATAGTTAATTAGCACAGAAGAAAGCTAAATCCACATAACCATTTTCTAACTCTAGCCATAAATCTGAACGACGACAATGCATAAGAGAAAACATTCAATCTCGCGACTCAGATCCATCAACATCACACAAATGACAAATCCATCCATTTACAGGCTCTACTATCGATTGGATGGTTAAGCTTAATATATGCAACCAAAATACTGAGATTCGATTCGATCCATGCATAACAAGCACTAAACACATTTCAGGCAGTACAGGTCCAGAGCGAAATTAATCGAGATACAGTCTGATTAAATCAAACAACAAAACGACGAGCAAATGAGGCAAAAAAAAAAAAAAAAACAAAGAGATCACCGAAAACCGTGCAGCGCAGCGATCGGCGTCCGGCGTCGTGAATTTGTTACTGCCAGTGCCTGCCTTGTACGAAGAACCACTTCAACGAGCAGTCGGACCCTACATCGGCTTCCCAAATTTTGAAAAATAAATAAAATATTCAAAATGCGACTTCACAGAGTCGCGTTTTAGCATTGGCGCGCCACTTTCTTTGTTTAGATCAAAAGAATATACTATGTCGGATTTGAATCATACGTACCTTTAAATTTACTTGGTACACTTTCACTCATTTAACATAATTTGATTTTTAAAAAAATATCATATTAAATATATATTTTTCTCGTAAAATATCAAATCAAATACTAATTTTTACTTTTTTTCAAATTTTTCAAAATTTTAAAAATCTCCAAAAATTCCTATTTAAACAAATCCTTTAACTAGCTATTATTCATTATTTTCTATATAAATAATGAGTATGTTGTATGAAATTATATAATAAATAATATTTTGTGTTAAATGATTAATTTTTTATTAATGAATAATGTATACATTATATATTTAATGTGTATATATTTATATTTTTTTAATAATATTTATTTACCAAACTGAATATTATTTTCCTTCCGTCATAATCACTTTTCTTGTCCTAAAATAAATAATCACTTTAAAAATTAAATATATTTAATAAATATAAATTAATTAAGTTAAATTTATATCATTTTACACTTGGCCATTGGATTTACTCAAGAAAAAAAAATTATTTAAATCCTTTTTTAATAAATAAATATTTTAAATATTTATTTTTTATGAAATTATTGTAAGTTAATTATAAATAAATAAATATATTTTATATATATTATATAAAAATTTATTATTTACAAAGTAATATATATTGTATATATTTTATTGATATATAATATTTCATCGTCCCAAAAGAGACGTTCTTATTGGGTGTTAGACACGAGAACTAAAGAATAATAGTATTTAATTGAAAGTAATATAAAATAAAATATAAAAGACTAAAATGACCTTGAAGAATTTTAAAAAGTAAGTTAGATAATAATTATGGGTGGTTTGAAAAAGTAGGAATAATTTTGTTATAAAGCGGAGACTACGGTTACTAAATAACAAAACGAGACAATTATTTTGGAACGGACGAAAATGAAAAAACAAGATAATTTTTTTGGGACGGAGTGAGAGTATTAAAAATATTTATACATATATTCAAAATATTTTAGTACGCACTTTCGATAGCGATTGCGGCTTCCCACATTATAAAAGAATGTCTTCCTAATTATATATATTAACTTATATTTTTAAAATACCAACAACAATATTAATATACAAAATAATAAAATAATATTATAGTCACTAATGTATACTACTTAAATAACGGTGTTCAAAACAAATAGGTCATCTAAAAGTCATGACAGAAAGAGTATAAAATTAATTATTTTTAAATAAATTTTGAATTTGTTTGATCTACACAAATAAATATATATAATTTTCGTAATTTACTCCACAAATATTATTGATTTTTATTATTAGAGACTATAAGGTATTTTTATTTTTTTTTCTTTTATTTATTTGTACTATGTATTGAGTAATATAATTATTAATATTCAAAATATCTACCCGCATAAAGTCAATTTTATTCTTCTTTTAATAAAAAAAAATGGTATTATTTTTAATAAAATTGCCATATCAAAATATATTTACATCAAATTTTAAATAAAAAAAAACTTAAATTTAAATCCAATTAAACAAATTGTAACATAAATATCTTAATATTATATATATTTATAATAATTATAATATATATATATATTGATAAATAATAATTAATAAAAAAATTATATAAGTACCCCAAAAAATTTGAGCCCTAAGCCTGGCCAGGGAACCCGATACATCTAAGGTTTGAAGATTGTTAAAAATATGACATTATTATAAATGGGGTGAGGATAGGTCGTAATTATAACAAATATACTCCCTTCATCCCGTCCCGGAACAAGGTTGTCGTTTACTTTTTGCACGTAAATTTTTAAATATTAGTATTATAATAGATTGTGGTGAAAAAGACGAAAATACCCCTATTAGTATTGTGTAATATAAAAATAAGGACATGTGTGTAACATAGTGTAAGTTGAAAGGGTATTTATTATGTTAGGTATGTAGTACAATTACTAAATTATGAAAGGAAATGGTAACCTTGTTTTGAGACGGACGAAAATAGAAAATGACAACATTTCAATGGGACGGGGGAAATATTTATTTTTGTATGCATACATGCATGTACATACCGTGATTGAATTGTGTGTGTATCAAAGATTGTTGATAAAAATAAAAATAAAAAATAAAAAAATGTAAAATTCAATATAAATGTTATTGTTATATAATAAACAATATATATTGGTAAGTAAATAAATATGTCTATACGGTTGTGGTGGTGTGTGAATATTATTATGTATGAAAAAAATTCTTTGTTATTTTGGTATATAGATAAATATATTTTCTTGATGCTGCAACAAATTATTCTATTTTTAGCACATAGAGATTGCAGGGAGTCAGTCACTCAATTTTGTGAATTTGTCCTTATTTAATGTGTCTAATTCCTTAAATGCCTAAAATAATCAAACATGATATTTTGCGATGGTAAAAAACGTACAAAATTATTTGAGAACACTTCATTCCATTTCATGCAAAGAGAAATTAACAAGTGTTGTTCTTTCTAATGTTGCACTTACATGGTATATACAACCATATAAGACAAAAAGTTTGATGGTAAGTGAGGTTTGAGAGCCAAAATTTAGAAAGAGAAATTATTGTGTGTGCCCTCGCCCTTCTTTCTCCATGTTTTGAACTATTGTTTAACATTGATACTCACCGGAGGAGTTGCTGGAGATAGGAGTTAAAGGAGTTCCAACCGAAGAGGATAATCGGGCTCTGAGCTGCCCTGCTGTATGGTAGTTGTTAGTACGCGTAATAACGTGAAACTGTGGAGGTATTTTCCTATGTTAACTATGATATGAGTTAGGGTGAAGGAGTTGTGGTCGTTCATGTTTTATAATCAGTATTAATTAGTATAATCTTTCCTGAATTGGTATTCCCCGGACGTACATTGGTTGATATTCGAATCGGGTCAACAAACACCTTGTCTATGTTGTTTCGTGTTATGCTTTGTTATTTGTTGTTAAGTTGTTTTAATTGTGGATCGTCTACGCTTCGAGAGTTGGCCCTTTGAAGTATTCGAACGTGTTTTGTTCGATAAATTACTTCCCAACAATATTAATGATAAATATGTATAATAAATATATGTGTGTGTATGTGCATTTATTATGTGTGAGTGAAGGTGAGTATATTGTACATTGAATTACTCTTGTTGCATATCGAATAATTCATACACAAATATATAATTATATACTAGTAAAAATATTTCGTATTTACATTTAAAAATGATCGATTGGTTATTATATCTCTATTCAAGTTTCATAGTAATATAATCTCATTGAGATCAAGTTTTAGTATATTGACTATGATATTGTTAAAAATCAAAGAATTATATAAGTTTTAAGAATATAATTAAGGGTACCATGGTATTATATATCGGAAATTTGAATCATTTAGTGTATCAAAAGTTACAGTATAAAAATTTTCATATTTGATATTATAATTTCAGCAAATTTTATTTATTTTTTTTTTTATGTATCATGTACCATTAGGTTCAAACCCAAGAAAGAAGCTCTCGTCTAGAGCCCAAAATGATAAGAGTTCCATGGTATAAATATATATTTCATCTGTCTCAATTCAATGATCGTTTTTATTATTTTCGTCCATTCAACTTAAAAATATCTATTTTCAATTATAATAAAAAAATAAGGGTAAACTGTTTTTTTAGTCCCGTAACTGGGACCTCTTTATCATTTTAGTCCCGTAAGTGGAGCCTGTCGCAAACTAGTCCTATAAGTGAAAAATTTTCGCTGTTTTAATCCTTCGGCGCCGGAGACGCCCGCGTGGTTCGCCGGAGGTAACGTGTCCGCCAAGTGTCCCGCCAGGTCAGCTACACCTGGCGGACACGTGGATTTATTGTTTTTTTATTATTTTTTTAATTTTTTTAATTGGACTAAATAAAAAAAATTAAAAATAAATTTAAAAAAAATAAAAAAATGAAAATTAAAAATAAAAAAATCCACGTATCCGCCAGGTCAGCGACACCTGGCGGACACGTCACCTCCGGCGAGCCACGCAGGCATCTCCGACGCCAGAGGACTAAAACAGCGAAATTTTTTCACTTATGGGACTAGTTTGCGACATGCTCCACTTACGGGACTAAAATATAAGGGGTCCAATTACGGGACTAAAAAAACAGTTTACCCAAAAAATAATAATATCTAAATACAAAAATACATCTAACTTTTTTTTAAAAAAATGTTTATTTTATTTGTAAAAAACAAAAATATCAAAACAGTCTTACACACTTTTACTGATAATAAAATATGATAATTTTTTAACGTAATGCAAAAATAAAATAAAATAAATGAATACATGAACCGCAACAAATAGAATATTTTATCATTTTTTTTAAATTTTATATATCATTTTTTTACTTATAGTTAATGATTTCATCTCTTATGGTTATTTTACCGGAATGAAGGGGTAATATATTTTTTTTAAAAAATTACAATTAATAAATTCTATCAAAATTTTTACAAATGAATATTTTACCGGTATTTGTTTGTAGATTTGATTTTTTTTATATTAAAAATTAAATTTAAATAATTATATGCGATAAAAATAGATATTGATATGATATTTTAAATGTAAAATTAATTTTTAATAAAATAAAATATAATATATATATATATATATATATAAAGGCTAATACAATTAACCTAATCAACAATAATAAACCTAGCTCATCCTGTAAGGGATGACCTACTATAGGGGTTGGACTTGTAACCATAAGGTCATGGGTTCAAACCAATCAAATGACAATCTTCTTGCTAAGGGTATTAAATAGTTTTAATTCAAACATTTACTATTCAAAACCCTGCAAATATCACTGTACCAAAATTTTCAATATTTTCTGGATAATAATTTCAATAATCCAAAATTTTTGATAATTTTTCTATTTCAAAACACATCCCAATTTACAACTATTAAATCAATACATCCATATGTTCTATTCAAAGTCACTTTTCTAATCACTCATTAATAATAAAATATTTTTTCACTCACATAATTTACAATTATATTATTATATATACAATTAATTTATAAATATAGACTAAAACACAAATGATAAAAGTTGGACATAGATAAGATGTTGATCCTGTAAGTCAACATATGCTATAGGGATAACCAATATACATTTATACATATTTGTAATATTATCATATTATAAGTCAGCTTATGTTATCTTATAATACAAAATTAGCTGAGATATGTAGAAACATGTATTAGTCACTCATATGACATATACTGATTTGATCAAATCAACATCATGATGACTTGCGAATCAGCACGAAATTTGCGATCAATAAAATTATATTACTCCATCCGTCCCAATACAATAGTCATGTTTACCATTTTTATCCGTCTCAAAACAATAGTCTCATTTCTATAAATAATCATATCACTATAAAATTACCCTTATTTTTTTCATTATTATTACACAATTGTCATTACTTTTTACATTAATATATTCATACGGGCAAAAAATTCTTTTATCCGTACTTTTTACCAACTACCAATATAATATCAATATTTTTAAAATCTCGTGTCAAACCCAACTGAAAACTATAATTCTGGGATGGAGAGAGTATTGTTTAATCTACTACAAAAATTCTAAAAAGTACTTTAAACCGAGAGGGAGGGAATATTATTTTAATAAAGAAAATCTAAATTCTCAAACTCAATTAAGACAGAAAAGAAACAGCCGCAGAGCAACACAAAGAGAGAGATAAGCATGACAGCTAAGGGATGCACAAATCAATACAGACAATATATATATATATATATCATGCAACGGTAAACAATCCTTAACCATACACTAGGGAAATAAACAAGTCTCCATCAAACAATTATTCAGCTCCAAATTGAAATCACATACATGCATTGCCACAATTATATTATCATTATTACTAGTTTGTTTTTAAACACAGATCACACAAAATCCAGTTTAGGGGACCGAACAAGCAGAGAAACAATCAAAACACAAAATAAACAAGATCAAGACTGGAGAGTAGGAAATGCACCTGCTGCAAAAATCCATATCTATTGAGAGAGAAGAAGATATATAAATGATTCCCGGCCGTACTAATATTAGTCGGGGTGGTCCATCTCCGTCTCCATCTCCATCTCCGGTCCATGATAATAAAAGCAAACACACAATTACTCTAATGGCTTTTCCAAGATATATTTTTTATTTGTCCCCATTTGCGTGGGGTAGAAGCCCTACATACATGAAAAAAACGTGTGGCTTATAGGTAAATTAACTATAAATGCTAAATTGCACAAAATTTACCCGTGGTTTCATCAAGTTGAGCCAAATCCCTTATACTTCTAAAACTACGTCAAACTCCCTCGTGGTTTCATAAACTCTGCGTCTAACTCCCTCGGCGGTTTATTTGACCTAAATACGCCAAACTGCGAATAAATTTTAGAATCTCAATTTCTAAATCCCTAAAATTATAAATATATTCATTTTTCTTATATTTAGCCTTAAAAAAATAGTAAAAATAAATTCTTAAAACTTGAGAAAAATAACTTAGTAATGTTTACTATATTTTGAGGCTAAATATAAGAAAAATGAATATATCTGTAATTTTAGGGGTTTTATACATTGAAATTTTAAAATTTATTCGCAGTTTTTGCGCATTTAGGTCAAATATCGTTAAATAAAGACCGCCGAGGGGGTTAGACGTAGAGTTTATGAAACCACGAGAGTGTTTGACGCAATTTTAGAAGTATAGGGGATTTAGCGCAATTTCATGAAACCACAGTTGGATTTTGTGCAATTTAACCAACTATAAATAAGAAAGGGATGTGAAGCGAAGCCATACATTTAGTAAGCAGTCATTTCCGAGCCTTGATCTCAACTGCAGCAGCTGCTTTTATATCTTCTTTCTCGGGTTCTAACCTTGGCATGCTCAACATTGTGTTCACCCTCGATACGCCTTCAAGTGCGCGCCACTCTTGTCCGAACTCGACATTCATTTGATCGCCATCTAAAGCTTCGTTTTTTGTCGAGACATTATCGTGCTCGGTTTGAGCACTAGATTTGGCTATGGAAGAAGTTGATTCGTTTGAATCTAGGAAAAGGCAAACCACTGCGCAGTCATCGACCTTTGAAGTCGGGTACTTGTATCTCCATGCCCTAACTGCTGAATGCACGACTGTTCGTGCTGCATTAGAGCGTATGGAGCAAGAAGCTACGGTGTCCACCACTTCCTTGTTCGACAATACATCCCATATCTGCAAGAATGATATTACATTAAGCTCCGTGAAAATGTTTTGGAATGTAATCGAAGAAAATAAGGTCTTGTTCTCATACCCCATCTGTTGCTAACACAACAAACTCATCCTTGTCAGTGAGGCGTCTGTGCGAAATTTCTGGCACAGAAATCAGACCAAAGTCCTTGAGACAGAAATCACCAAATGCCCGGGCCATTGCTAGGCCGGGTGCATCGTTGTTTGGCAGCCATACCCTTGCAACCTCCGGTTCTTCTTGAAGTGCGAAAACACGTCCTTTACAATTTCTTATTCTTTCTGCTTCGGCTGGAAGTGCCAAGAAACATTTAATAACCATTATACAGAATGATATTCAGAAAACATCTAACATTGGTGGTAGGAACAAAGAAGATATTCTTAGTCGTAATTGTTTCAATTTATAGTGGTGCCTATACCAGGAAGGTTAGGTTTCAAATCGACTGTCAGCTGGATGGCCACGAGTGAATTATTTTCATCCCTTGTACCTAAAACAGCTCTCGAATCCCCAACATTTCCAATTACAAGATCCTGGCCCTGTAGAAAAGAAAACCAAGGTGTATTAGGACATTGTCGTTTTTAGTGGCACGCCTCATAAACTTGGTGACATTACCTGCTTCACTATGGTCACAGCTGTTGTTCCACTGCAGAAGCAATCGATATTTGCATACATCCTCAACTCCCTGTCCATAACTTTAAACGCCTTCAGAAAAGACTCTTTCAATGTGTGAAAGACCTCTGGATGCTTTCCTATTTCTTTAGAGTCAATGGAAGGCCTAGATTCCTCATCAGTTGATTGGAATGAAGAGTCATCTGCCCACACGCTTCCAGTAGAATTTAAACTAACATCCCGAAGAATCTCGTCACTTTTTATATTCGCTTCCCAGTGGGTACTAAGTTTCAGAGGAAGTGAGTCCCTAACTCGCTTTGCCACCATATGCCCGTAAGGACCATGGCCATCAAAAACCCCACAAAAGACTGTGTCTTCTCTAGAAGCAAAGTTCTGCATATTTTTTTCAAACAGAATCTGTGAGTGGAATAGGTTGCTGAAAACCACATTTTCTAATCATCAAGCAAAAATTACACAGAAAAACACAAAAAACCAAAGACATCAGCTCGAGTAACACAAAAATAGGTGAGAATCCAAAGGCACAATAATTATAGTTATAGCCGTTATCCACTAGCAGGCTTCAATCACCGACTCCCTGTCAATGTCATTAGCTCGCCAACTTCCTTAACCTTTTGGCACTGGGTAGGCATCAGCCCCCATCCCCTTGTTTTCCAAAATTTTTTACAAATTCACTTAAATTTCATCTAAGATTAGAGAGAGACTAATTCCCAATTCATAATGGAACCTTCTATAGAGCAAATTCAACCAGTAAAATGCAACATTTACGAATCATAGAACTCACCAGTATTAGATTGCCTAGAGTTTGCTCAAGCCTTTAATAAGCAAACAATTCAAAGTTCTAAAGCAGAACATCATGCAATACAAGTTGAAAATTTAATAAATTCAAAAGCAAGCCTGCAGTCCAAAAATACACAACCCTGAAACACAATAGACTAAAAATTAATTCAAATTAACGATTTCATTCATTATAATAGACCACAAACATAGATAAAGAACTAACAAGGAAGACGAGAGTTAACCTCCCAAACAATCATAGCATCCTGATTGATTCCCTTTTTGCCTTTCTGAGTAAAGAGTGAAGCAATGTCGCTGGAACCATTCAAGAACATCCGCCCAACTGTTCTGTGCAGCAGCTCCTCCTTCCTAAGGTCGTATGATAACCCCTGCGACTTCGGCCTCCTTTTCAAGCTCTTTGTCTTCCTAATCCCCATTGGAGAACGGGGTAAAGGGCTCCTGCTTTCACTGGACAAGCAGGACCCCATCCTTAGGGCCCTGATAATGTTCAGTATGCAATCCAGACCAGCCACCCAATTACACCAACGAGTTTCGCTATTGGCAGCCGTCACGACAGACCAAATAGAAATCCCCTTGAGAAGTTGGAATTCGAAAACCAAATTATCCACTTCACAAAGATGCTAACCTGAGTTCCAAGGAAAGTACAACTGCATGTAACATATACAATGATTTTTCAAACAATTCAATTTACATCATCAGGGACACTTTATAACCATTCTACTCTCAGCAGATTGATGGAAATAACTACTCTACCACTCCCATCCTAAAAATGGAACTGTAAAGCAAAAACTAAAAAATCATAATAATGACGAGCAGGGAAAAGACGATTATTGCTAAAAAATTTGATGCATAATATACCTACGCTCTCCAGTATTTCCGTATTCTACAGTATAACTTGTAATGATTTCCCATAACCTAATATAGTGACCACCACGAACCCAAAAATAGCAGATCTACGGAACAATCCATTCTCTTTCCATAAACCACAATAAGCAAATAACCATTCTCCACAAATTCACGCCGAACATAAGAAAACGTCAACCAAAAACCGAAGATCAATAAAAGGTAAATTCACACGGCCACTCATCACAAACCTTAGAAATAATCCCGAATCCCAATTCCACCAAACCCACCGCCAAGAGTCCGTTCGCGCCTCGCCAAAAATCCGAAGAACAATCGAACACCGGTGGCAAGCGCGTATACCCAAAACAAAGAGTCGCAGTGATCGGAAACGCCGAAGGAAACCAAATAGCAAATAGCAACCGCTGAATTCAGTAACAAAGGCAGAAAGAAAGAAGATTGGAAGGAAAAAAGGCGCAGTGAGAAAGTTGGGATCGGCAAAAAGCCGCCGAGAAGACTTTAAATTGCGGAAACGAGAGAGAGAGAGAGAGAGAGAGAAGCCTCGGCCACTGGAATCCACGCCGTTGTTTTCAACGCAAACGTATGTATGTACCGTATAGGGAGAAGATTTAATATTAATATTATTATTATTTTATTATGAATTTATTATTATTATATGGTCGGGATGAGCCACTGACGGAGCCCGTGCGCACCACACTACTGACCATATGCTGTCAGTCATTTTCTTGTTTTTGTATTCAATTTTATAAAAATTTTAATATTTATTACTCATCCACTAATATTTAAGGTGTGTTTCTTTGCGTGGTTTTGAAAAAATTTGGGTTTGATTTGATTTATTTGAATTTTGAGATGAATTTAAATTTTGATATTTTTTTTGTATTTAGATTTGGTTGGAGTTTGAAAAATTTTGATATTATTGATTTGATGGATAATAAATAAATAATATAAATATATTAAATTTAATTGCTAAAATTTATATTGTATGATTTACTTATGATTTTATTTTATACCCAATATATATATTAAATTTTTTTTTTTTTACTTATATTATATAAAATTTTATTATTTATAAAATTACATATATACTGTATATATTTTTTTACCTTAAACCCTAAACTCTAAACATGCCGTCCGACGACAACAACCCCAATTTTAGGATTTTTACTATGCGGACTCTTCATAAACAAATGAATAAAGGTGTGTTTTTTCAACCCCAAATTTAGGATTTTTACTTTGTTTTTTCAACCCCAATTTTAGGATTTTTATTGCACAGTAAAAATCCTAAAATTGGGGTTGAAAAAACACACATTTATTCATTTGTTTAGGAATATAGACTGTCTATTTGTGCGAATTGTAAGAATTGTTTAATGTAATATAAATATGTATTGACGTGGTGTTTTAAATATAAAATAAAAAAATAAATATGTATTGATGTGAAATTTTACTATAATATAATAAATAAAAAATAAGTACTTGATTTGATATTTTTGTGAGAAAAAAATTAGAATAGTAAAATTAAAACAAAAATTCCACATGTAAATACACCATAGGATTTTTAATAGTCTAATTCAATAATTTAAATAATATAATTATATGAATAATATTGTTATTATTTTTAAAATAAAAACTAGCATATAATTAAATTTTTTTAAAAAGATTTTAAATATTATATTTCAATAAAATAAATAATATTATTTTTTAAAAAACAAATATTTATATAATATAAATAAATAAAAACATAATATTAACAATTTTTATAAAAAATAGTGAATTTTAAATATAAATAAATATTTATTTATTGAGTAAAGATAAAAAAAGTTTTGAATGTTTGATGAGTATAAATTTTAAATTTAATTAAATTAATTTATACTACTATTTGTTAAATACATTTAAAATTGCTAAATTTACCAAAAATAAATAAAAAGGGTCATCATATGTGAAAATTAATAGAATAGACTAAAAAAGCAAAATAGTCATATATGCATACGTGTTGGATGAAGAGGGTATATTTTTCTTTTCAAATATCCGTACATTGATATTTTATAGTTCTTCCGTATCAAAACTATAGACATAAGATTTAAAAAATATTAATATTATATTAGTTGTGGATAAAAATTACAGGTAAAAGATTTTTTTTTGTCTTTGTGAGTGTACTAGTGTAAAAAGTAGTGACAATTATGTAATAATAAAAAAAATAATGATAGTTTTATAGTGACATGATTATTTATGAAAATGAAAGTATTGTTTTGGAACAGATAAAAATAATAAATAGAAGTATTATATTGGGATGGAGAGAGTATTAAATTAAAAAATAATGCTAATATTTTATTAATTGGTATAAATGTAATTTTTGATATTTTTGCTGTTTAATTTTATAAATAAAGTAATTATGCATTGAAAAATAATATATTTGCAATTTAAGTATTTTAATATTACTATATAATAATTTTTATTAAAATAAAATTTGATATTTTTAATTTGAAAGAGTTCATACAACTTTATAATTCAAAATCTTTATTATCACATCCAAATTCCAAACAAGCAAGTCCTATTATCCACTAGGGAAAACTATAATATACATTTTACGTTCCTTCTATAATAGTGTCGGTAATATAACATGATATTTATTTTAAATTGAATATTTACTTTTGTGAGATGATAAAATATATATTGGAAATTATGTAATAAAAAATATTGAAAAAACAAAACCCAAACAAACCCTAGATATGTATGTTTACTTGTAAAATTTTATATTTGATTTCACTATTCTTATTTGTTTATCTAAAAAATATCAAATTAAATATTTAATTTTTTTTTAAATTATGTCAAACTAAAATTTAATTTTACATTCAAAATATATATTAATATATATTTATATCGCATCGAATAATTATTTAAATTTAAAATTTTACTATTTAAAATTAAAATCTCATAGGTAAACACGAAATTGATAAATAGAAGTAGCGGCATACACGGTTAGATTATTTGCAAATATATTGGTATTTCATATAACCGAACTCAACAAATACCCGAAATTGCGAACCTAATTCGAACCGAAAATATATTCAAATAACTCGAACTGAAAATATGTGCAAATAACTCAAACCGAAAAAATACATTAAAATTCTAATTAAATAAAAAAATATTTGGAAATATTTCAAATATTCAAACCGAAATCGAGTCTATACTTATTGATATAAATTTTAAAATAAATTATCAAAAATCAAAATTGAACCGACCGAACAAACATCAAATATGTAGTATTTGTATTCGATTCGAAACGAATTTGCTCAATTAACCAAAATTTTGGTTCGTTCCTAGTTCAGTGGTTTGACAATTCGATTCGATTTGTTTGCCAACTCCTAAATAGAAGTAATAGTAATAAAAATAAGAGTAAATTATATAAAACCTTATTGTATTTTAGTAAAAATGTACAAAATACTATATGTATTTTATTTATTGCGTGAAACCCATTGTGTTAATGTAAAATTTGCAGAAAACATATTGCTTATCCAAACCTGACATTTGATTCTAAATAAAGATCTAAATTAAGTAAGTTTAATATAAATAAAAACATATAATATCTTAAATAACTTTTATGAATAAAATAAATAAATGAATAATTTATTAATCATTCATTTTATAGTTTTTAAAACAGATTGTTATTTGATTTTTATAAAAATTATAAAAATAAATGCTCCCTCAATCCCATGTAATATGTGTATTACCGTAGACACGTGAATCTAGGTAAAGTATAATTAGTAAGTAATTAGGAAGTGTATTAGCAAAAATAATAATTATTTAGTAAAAATAATTATAGATTAAGATTAAAATAAGTAAATAGTTTAATTAAAATTAAAAAAAATTAAAATTTAAAATACGATTAAAGTGCATCATTATATTTCAAAAAATAGAAATGACAAGTTATGTGAAACGGACGAAAAAATAGAAACAAATTATGTGGAACGGAAGGAGTAATTAATCAATTATTATTTTTATTTATTTTATTAAAAAAATTATTTAAAATATTTTAACACTTTTCTTTATTTAAAACCAAATATCAATTTGGACAATTTCGTGCAAATTTTATATTAACAACAATATTTTATGCAGTTTTACTAAAAATACAGAAAGATATTATATAATTTATTTTAAAATAATAATAATAATAATAATAATAATAATAATTAGGAGAAGAACATTTTAAAATTAAAATCGGAATTTGACCGACGCTAAAACATGTGTGCAGTACGTCCGAAGAGGCAAGCAAACAACCGCGTGAACATATCTTTTTTGTAGTTGATTAATAGATAAATTCAAATGCCCAAATTGATCTCAAACTCGACGTCAGGATGAAGCATTTTGGGACAACTTTTTTCGGCTGCAAATTTATAAATTAGAGGAAAACTTTCTACCCACTAGGGTAGGCAGATTCCGATCCCCAATCCCCCCGATTCTGGATCTGATCCCTCCTTAGATTTTTTTAAATTTAACCCCCAAAATTCCCCAGAATCGACATCTAATCCGCAGGAAAGCGGAGCAGGACATGGGCAGTTCAATTTTCCCGTCGTGCCCATTTCGGAATGGCTGCCTTTTCCTCTTGTTTATGCTCTTTATTGTTTCCGACCTGCCTGGAATTTACGCCGAGGTACTTCTGTTTTCCGAGGATTTGATCTACTGTAATTTGCTGAGTTTGTAGTTACAGGCGATCTGAATTTTCATCTGCGTGGGTAGGAAAATGGAGGGCTCATGTCAAGTGACGGGATCGTGGATCTGGGTCGGCGTAGTAAGGTCAGGTTGCTCCCAGTCTTCGAGTTCATTTTGTTGAGTTGAGAGCTGCTTCGATTTTTTTCTTTTTTCTTTTTTTTTTTTTTTTTTTTTTTATTGCATTTGACTGCAGGTTTTGTTAGTAGTTAGAGTTGGAATTTGTCAAATTTTTATATGTTCTCTTGTGAAAGTTAATTTGATTGTGCAGTGGTGTTTGTGGGCTCTGATTTGTTGAAATTAGCATGATCTGTTAGAATTTATGTTCTTTTACACTTCTTACTGTGGTGCAGACAGAATAACAGATGATTTTTGTAATTTGATGATATCGCATTGATCTTTTGACAGATAATTGTGGACAAAATTAAGACAGTTGTCAAAGAAGATAATGATCCTGATGCCATAAGTCTTGGTGTTAATGTTGAATCTGGTCTCGGGGTCTTCGATGCTTTCATTGCTAGTTTATCTATGATTCTTGTCAGTGAGGTGAGTAATTTATTTTGTATTGTATGCCAGATGTTTTCTGTTAATAATTTTTGTTCTAGTGTAGCAGGGTAGTGTCATTTGAATTTACGACTGCTCTACCTTTTTTCATTAAGAAACTGTAAAATTACAAATGACCTAATTTATTGTAATGCCCTACAATTTTATTTTATTTTATTTTTTCGGAGGAAAACGGCAATTTCTTGTACTATTCATTTTTGTTGATTACATAACAACAGTTCTATGCTTCTAGATTGGAGATGAAACTTTTATAATAGCAGCTCTCATGGCAATGCGGCACCCCAAGTCTATTGTTCTTTCTGGTGCTCTCAGTGCCTTGTTTGTGATGACAGTAAGTCAATGTCCTTTTCTTTTCCTAGATACGTGTATTTATGTTATTTCTTACTAAAGCTTCTGTTGCATTTTTGACTTACACTTCTTTTACTATGATTTTAGCTTCACTAGACTACTTTACGATGAGTGAAAATGAGAGTTAACTCCTTGCACATGTCTTGCAGATACTTTCAACTGGTCTTGGGAGAATTGTGCCAAACTTGATATCAAGAAAACATACCAATAGTGCAGCTACAGGTTTGTGTTTCAATACTTCGGAATGAAATATGAATCAAGAATATTTTGCTTGGGTTAGTGTGGGGTCTGATAGATAATAGTCTCCATTTGTTTAAGAAAAATAATTTCATGGTGGATTAAACATTTTTGTGCAATTAAATGCCTTTTCTTTGAACAATGTGATCCAAGTTCTTTCATGCATGTGTTTTTGTGTTTAAATATTTAACCTTTATCTGGGGTCAAGCTTGAAATAATGTCAAGCATAGAACTAAAAGTATGGAGACGTTTTTAAGATTCATGAACTACTGTTTTGTTTTCAGGGATTAATCGTACGGCCTATAAAACTGTTAGATAAATAGTAATTACTGTTAGAATTAGTGTCAGAATCAGTATTATGTTTGATTTGCGCCTTTTCATTTTGTCTTCCCTGTCCCTGTGTCTCCAACTTAGTCTGTTTTTCCAACAGGTGAATGCCTATATATACTTATGTAATTACATTGTAAATAATAATCTTCTAGTGAAGATTATCTCCTCCCTTCCCTTTTTGCATTTCATAGCAAAAACAAACACTTTTCATGTTATATTTAGTACTTGTTGGCCAGAATTTCTAAGACCTCAGGAGTATATCCCAAATTGCACCCAACTCAAAGGGTTGTGCCAGGAAGGGGATATGGCTTCTTGGCTGTAGGTTCCTGGAAGATTACACTAAGCTCCTGAGAATAGAAGATGAATTTAGAAGTATAAGGTATGGAAATTAAAATAATTGAAGGCATAATTTAAGGGTTAGAATGTAAAAGGAAATTCTGTAAATATATGGTGAAATTGCATGAAATAGGGAAGTAAAGGTAAAAATGTATAAAAAAGGATAATACATAATGTAAGGCTAAGGAAAAATGAGGATGGGTGCAGAGATGCTGTGTGTGAAGAATTCCTATTTCTTTTTCAATTCATCCATCGTATGTACCAGCAACTACCCATTCAAGACCTTGGTTATTGCCCACTAGTTCCACTAAGCGTTATGTTGCAATCTTCTTGGATTAAAGGAGCTCTTGGTAGTGGCCTTCATGCTTCTCTCATGGAGTTATGTCTCAAAATTCTTTCTTGGGAAGATTTCTTGGTGGGGCTACTGTTGAGAAGTAGCATCTTTCACCGCTAATGGCACATTTAAACATCTTGTAATCACCAAAGATGTGGGTCTTAACTAGTTTACTTGGTCTTCTCAAATTGGGTCTCGTTGGATGAGCATGGGCTAGTTGGACTAGTTTGGAACTCTTAGGTTGGGTTGAAGCCTCTACAACTCATGGGTCTTCTGTTGATGAGGTCTCTTATAGTTTCTATCTCAGGGCCCTGTGACCTTAGCATACAAATAAAACCATCCTTCATACTGAGTGGTGCATGGTGACAAAAGGAATTAGGATACCATGATGATGAGATAGGAAATGTCAGGACAAAATTGATTCAAAGAAGCTCTGTGACTTTGCCATCCGCAATATTGTAGTGATAAGTGAGTTTGTGACAAGTGGCATCGACAGTCACTACAGTACCTTTTAATTATTTTGGAATTGAAATTGAATTTTATCAAGCTGATTTCAGTGCTTCAACGTAAGAAAACACAAACGAAATTAAATTAAGATTAGAACAAATAGGGTTGTTTATTTGATTAGGTTCCACGAAAAGCTTGGGACCCTATATGATTCAATTACTATCCGGAGAGTTGGAAAACTCACTGATGTAGCTGAATGTATGTCATTGGGCTATCGGTAGAAGCTTCTTCTTCCACTGTAGATTCCATGAATTTCTTGGCTTGGATGGTGACTGCTATTTGGAATTTACGAATTTGGTCTTGGTAATGGGTCCAGGTAGCAGCATAATCAGGTCTGAAATAGCAGGGATGCTCACATAAGTGTTGATAAGAATGTATCTCATAGTTGGGATGGAAGAATTGGAGAAAGAAGAAAGAAGTGAGTTGCTGGGAATGACCAAGGGTGCCTTTTTATCTCTATATGGTTACAAATTCAACCCTTAAGCATAATTTCAACTGCATGTCAGTAACTGCAGGCCTAACAGCTAACTGCATCTAGTGTAGTAATGCAGCATTCTTCAAGCTACCATGCCATAGTTCAATTGCCATATCACCTGTGTTCAAATATATTTTGGTTCATTGAATATAATTCAACTTTAGCTTTCAAAAGTGAAGAAAGTGAATCCACACATGTTTGTTTCTTCCATGTTACCTGTGTGAGCGTTAGCAAGTATCAGGTTTGGTTTCAGGTGGTGTGAGTCCTTAGCTATAGCCATTTTATGGAGTCAGATGTGCATCTTAGAATAGTGGGAGATTAACCTAAACTTTTAGAATTTAATTTGTTTATAAATCTGTAATGAATACCCTCTGCAGTTCTATATGCGTTTTTTGGACTTCGACTGCTCTACATTGCATGGAGATCAGATCCAAAAGGTTCTCAGAAGAAAGAAATGGAAGAGGTATGTTTCATTTTGAAAATGATTTTGAATATGCTGATTTGTTTTTTATCATCCTTGAAGACAATTCTCATTCCCTTTCATGTTTGAAATACAGTTCTGAGCTTGATTTTTGAAGGTGCATGCATGGTAAACATGTGAAATGATGATGGAAGTCATGCTATCATGTCAAGAAGTAGCTTAAAATGCTTTACAAACATCATCATCTAATAATATCTTATATCTCTTACTTTGATTGTCACTATTCCATTACTGGCTAGAAAATGCTGTTTTCGGAATCTTTTCATATTCTCTCCGCTTCTCACTGACACAAGCAGAGAACACTGCAATGGCTAACATTTGACATGATTTTAAGTTTCATAAGCTTCCTGCCACGTAAATATGTCTTCCTGGGCTATATGATCTGTCATGTTTTTTCTATTAGTAGTTTCCCAGCAGTTATATGAAAGTTGTTCCTAGAATAAGCTTCTTGCCTGTGCCTATATTTAATTAACTCCTAATTACTTGCACAGTGTCAAATGTGTATCTAACATTGGTGCCAAACAGATTAATACATCATATGTCTAGACATTACTTGTATTCTAATGTTGTGTTTATTTTGAGTGATTATGTTGGATACTCTCCCTCAGTCCACTAATAATAGATACATTTTGCTATTTAGGACATTCACTAACAATAATAATGTTTATTTATTTACGAAGTGTAGGCCTCACAATATTAATAAAATATTCTATCATTTAACATAAGAGTACTGAAATAATCTTTTCAACACACATTCTTTGTTAGTTAGGTGTGACTCTTAAAATGTAAGGGTATTTTAGTCTTTTCACACTTAAACGCCTTCTATAATATATAAAATACTATTATTTCTTAATCAACGTGTAAACAGTAAATGTATCTATTGTTAGAGGATGGAGGGAGTGGTATTTTATCGGAAGTAATCACTTGTTTACTTTAAGTTATCAAACTCTATAAGTTAAGGCCTGCTGTACTAATACTTTAATCAAGGATAATCAATAATTCTTGAATGGGTGTGATTATAGGTAGTCCCCACTTTCTGTGTTATATATGTTGAACTGTGTTGAACTGAGGCATCTTATTTTGAATGTTACAGGTACAAGAGAAGCTTGAATCTGGACAAGGGAAAACAGCGCTACGACGTTTCTTTTCTAGATTTTGTACTCCAATCTATTTAGAGGTGTTCTTTTACTTTTTGTACCTTAGGAAATTTTTGTCATAGTGATAAGAAAATAGCATCTTTTGAATGATATATTCCCTCCTTCCTGAAACTTTGCTTATTTTACTTTTGGTGTGGTTTGCTAGGTAGTTTAATCTTGATAATTTTCCAACAATTTTGCCCCTACATTTTGTTTGGAATGATTATATAATTTAATTAAAAGGGTAAAAGAGGAAAACTTATGTCTAAATAATGAAGGTTGCAAAGTTTTCTGACATTCCAAATTAGAAATAATAGCAAATGTTTTGGGACGGAGGTAGTATTAATTCTTGATATTTAATATTATGCCTAGTTAATCTTTGAATTGTTTATGTTTTATTTTCTGGTTATTTTAAAATACTTTTATGATGTACTTGTTAAGTTTTGATATTTAATATGCAAGGTCGTTGTGTTTTTAATTCTTTGTTTCAAATTATGAAAAAATGATAGAACTTGTGCACATGCCAATGTCAAATATTATTAGTTTCTTTTATTTACTTATTTTATTGCCTATCTATCAGGGCATTGTAGTGCAAATGACTAATCCTCTTTCCCTGCAATGTTCCATGTTTGCAGTCTTTCATATTGACGTTTTTAGCGGAGTGGGGAGATCGTAGCCAGATAGCCACAATTGCTGTAAGATTCAAATAATATATATTGCATTCTATAGCATATCATGCATCAAATTTAATATAACCTGGATTCTCCAGGTGGTTATTCTTTCTCATCTCTAACCTTTTGAAAATCTATTAGTAAGCTCTGTGCCTGGATTCTCTTGAAATTAATATAGGCTTGAGAAATTCCCTAAGGTCCCGGTGGTTGGATGTATTTGGATTTGAAGGTGGATTTCAAATGAATGGATTTGAGTTATTTCGGATTTGAAATACTTCATGATTAAAATTTTTTTAAGTGACACAATGTAAAGAGTATTTGTAATATTAATGATGATAGATTTAAAATCCACGGCTAACCTTGGATATTCCATCGCATTGCGAAATGAAACCAATGAATTTAATGGATGGATTTGAATTTGAGAGTGGATTTTAAATAATTGAATTTGAACTATCTATAATTTGAAATACCTTATAAATCAAACTCATTGTTTGGTTGTAACAAGTATTTGAAGTGATACAATACTTGGGGTGTGTTTGTTTGGGTGTTTGGATTTTGATTTGAGATTTGAATAGTAAAAAAAAATTGAATTTGAATAGTTGTATAATGCGTTATAAATAGGTGATAATGAGATGTTTTGAATGTAAAATTAATTTTTAGTATAATATAAAAAGTGAAAAATAGGTGTTGGATTTGTGAAATTGTTTTAGTGAATAGTAGAAATTTGGTAAAATTTTATATGCAAACACACCCTTGAAATACTAAAGGAGATGTATTTGAAATCCAAAGTTAACTTTGGAGATTTGAAATCCATCGTACAATGAATTTGATTAAGCCATTTGAAGTACCTTTCTAACTCAAATTCCTTTAACCAAACTGGATCTAATGGTTTTTCAACTTATGCATTAGTAAGATAAGAAAAATGTTTCATAGTTAATTTGGCCTTGGTTTCACTTAATATTATTTCATTCCTACAATCTGTTCGAACATCCATGGCTGGTTTGCATCTTATTCTTTTTATAGATGAAATCCTTAGTACATGGACAAGAGATTGATAAATTGCTTGAACTGTCTGTAGGCTATTTAGATGTCGATTGCTTTAACAACATAATTGCCCTCATATTTCCTACGAAGAACATGAACTGGCATCCCCGCATTGCTACGTTTCTCAGTTTTGAATTGTCACAACAATAGGCATCGATATTCTTGTTTATTTAACAAAATACGTACTCCCTCATCCACAGCTAGCAACACACAAGAACGCCGTTGGAGTTGCAGTAGGGGCCAGCATCGGCCACACCATCTGCACATCTTTAGCTGTCATCGGTGGAAGCATATTGGCGTCAAAGATCTCCCAGCGTACAGTTGCAATGATAGGCGGGTTTCTCTTCCTCGGGTTTTCTTTGTCTTCATACTTCTATCCTCCACTATGATTTCGAAAAGTTTTGGAATGACACTGACACATGATCATCCATTCTACTCCACGTGCTCCCGAGGAAATGTGCTGCAAAATGGTTAGTAGTTCATTTGCCAAGAAATAACAATATATAGAAATTTAATGTCTGCTGATTACGGATGATTATATGAACTAACAGTCAGGAAAATGAATCGACATTCTTATTGTGTTTGTGCTTATGTTTCTGTTTGATATAAGAGTGGATATTCCTGGAATTGGTTGCACTGTCCTTTCGATTTTAGAAATGAATCTGCAATTTGATTTAAATCTTTGTGGAAGACAATATGAGTTGCTTATGTTTTTGTGCTAACTACAGGAAGTTACATTACAGTCAAAAATAGATCCAAAGGGATTTTGTTTTTTTATGTAATTTATTTATATTAATTATGTATATATATATTATTTATTTGTATTATTAAAAAATTACAACATAATACTTGATACATTAAATTTATTTTAGTATATACTATATATTATACTGGATTTGTTGGATAAATTTGTTTTTTATTTAGATATTTTTCATGTTGAATCGTTGATTTTTTTGGCGAGTAAATAAAATATAGATATTATATATTGTTTTTTTTAATAATATTTATAGAAAATTATGTTATAATATTATATATTGTAAATAAATATTAATTAAATAAATTTCATCGGTTAAACTTCAACTACAAATTCAACTATGAATTTTTTTGTTTCCCCCCAAAGTGCAAGCCATTCCAAAATAATTGCGTTGAACATATGCATATTTATTAAACTAGTTGCATTAAAATTTATTTCCCCAATTTCACTATTGACCTTTGTTTTTTTTTCAAAAAATATAAATATATTTTCATAAATTATTATACTCCTTAAAATACTATTTAAATATAAAATTTAAACAAAAAAATTTCAATCCAAAATAATGCATATAATATTAATATATCACTAAAAAACTAAGAAATTACGAGGCTCATCCCTTAGTATAACCTAAACATAAACAAACCAATTCGAACAATACAGAATCAGCCACAACAATTTGTATACGCCAAATCAATGCATACGACTATACGAGATAAAAATCATAAGAAAAACACATCTCACAAAGTCAGCGAACGACGACAACACATTCGCCGTGAGCTCATTAGAATTCCTTTGTCTCCACGAAATCAAGAGGAAGGAAAACTCACCGGAGCCTTAAACCTAACAACGTCATAGAAAATGAGTGAATGATATAAACAGTAGCGGACTCACACACATGTATATTATATACTTCATTCGTCTCATTTATCGTGTTTACATTGTCGTTTTTGTCCGCCTCACATTTTATGTTATTATTATTTTTTTTTTTGAAAATATTCAGACACTCTAATCTCATTTTAACTTTTTTAATTTATAATTTTTTAAATATTTAGAGATGGTTAGAGTGTTGAATTGACAAATCAGTACAATGTTGAATTGTCTTAATTAACATAAACTATAAAATATGATAATGATATATGTCTTCGTTTAATACGACACATGCGGTGTAAAATCAATTGTAATATTATTGTATCAGAACATATTATATATTGTCAATTCCTTCGTATACTATATTTGAACTATGGTAACATAAATCATATATTTTATCTTTATAATGTTGTCTGGTCCTATGCCGTATGTTGCATTTGTAACATAATTCACATGTTTTATGTCTACACTGTATGCTATATTTCTGTGTGTGAAAATATATATATATATATATACACGTTTTTAGTTCATATGTTATTTATATTATATTAATACCAAAATATTTTTAATTTTTATCTAAAATATAAATATATATATAATTACTTTGTACAACAAAGTCAAAGATAAAAAATGTCAAAATATTTTACACACTTTCACTAATACTCTGTATGTTAGAAAAATAAGTATATTCTGATTTGTGCTTTGTGCTGATCCATTCCCTCGTTTATGGTGTGTTCTTTTGGGGATTTTCCCATATTTTCACCATTTATCAATTTTTTTACCTTAAAATATTAAGTCAAATATTTTTTTTAATTTTTTATATTATATTAAAAATTATTTTATATTTAAAATATCACCTAACATCTATTCATACCGTATCACTATTTTATTTCAATTTTTTATTAAATTTTTTTATTATTCAAATTTCAAACTGGATATAAAGCGACAAAGAAACACACCCATAGTATTCGCGGACTTCTGTTTTAGTATTTTATTACACTATTAATTTGGAATAGAAAATATGCGGAGTTATGGTAGGGATAAAATCTGATCTAGGGCACGCTGTATCCGTCGCCGCATCCATCCCCCTCCCCCTCCCCCGCTTTATATTCATTCATTCTTTCTGGATTTAGGGCAACATTCGAAGCAAGGATTGGATTGGATTGGATTGGGCGCCATGACCGGGAAGGCCAAACCCAAGAAGCACACTGCCAAAGAAATCGCCGCCAAAGTCGATGCTGCTACCACCAATAGAGGCGGAGGGAAGGCCGGCCTCGCGGATCGATCCGGCCATGAAAAGGGCGGCCACGCCAAGCTCGAGTGCCCGCTCTGCAAGATCACTGCTCCTGATATCAAGTCTATGCAGATCCACCACGACGCTCGCCATCCGAAGATCCCCTTTGACGAGTCCAAGCTCAATAACCTTCATTCCTCACTCGGATCGGATCAGGCGAAGCCTAAGCCCGGCGTCCGCGGCAGCCTCAAGAAGTGAAAATCCAACTGCTCCTGCTCCTGCTCCTGTTCCTCTGTTTGTGTTTCTTCTTTAATAGTAAATTTCGAACAAATTAAGTTGAAGAAGAAGAAGATGATTATATCGCTGTTGGCTATCGTTTCGTTGCTACTACATGGACAATAATATTGTCACTCAAGTGCTTGTGTACGTGTAATGCATGTCTCTGTTTTTCTTTGTTTTGGATACTGAATGATACTTTATGCCTTTGTCTGTGTAAGCTACTCCCTGTGTGGTTTTGAGCTAATGGTTTTCTCTTGTTTTAGATTGATTCTAAAGGATGCAAGGATGCTGAAACATGGTGCGTTGTTGATAGTTTGTGTAGATTTTGAATCAGTTTTTAGAGATTATTTTTTGGTGATTTTGCCACAAATAGCCAATGTTCTAAAGGAACTTGTCTGCCTTTTTATGTCAAATTTTGGATTGATAAAGATAAGAATATATAGGAATCAAAATTGGGGAATAGTATGTAATTCGAAGGTTTTAGTATAGTGGAATATGAAAGTAGATTTAAGATATGGGTTTGTGTAGCTAGATGTATTTGGTTGGCTCCTATGAAAGGGTGAGAATGCTACTGAAGATTTTGCACTCGATTAATTCTTAAAGTGATATGAAATTGGCTTGTATTGCTAAATGTGCCTCTTCCCTAGTTGTGAATTTATGATTGCAGATGACTAGAAGTGTTGCTTTTTCTATCTTAATTTGTTTATTTTTGTTCTCTGCTATGCAATGATAAAGTGTTTCTAACAAAACAAGCTTCTGAGTTAGATTTGATTTCTTGCCTTGTTGTGAAAGGTTCCCTTTTGATCCAAGTTTATTGCTCATCTGTTGGTGTATCTTATGAAATTTGTCAACCCATTGAGGCCGACTAGACGAAATGCACGAGCCATGTGTGTATTCCGACTTTCAAGTTACCTGTGGAAATAAAGTAGTTTGAATGGTTTTTGGTGTCTTATTCAGGAAGTTGATGTTGTTGTAAAAGAAGTTAATGTGTAGTGGACTTTGATCTTTGCTTTCTTGTAGTTTGTCGCCATGGCTGTTTGTAGAAAATAGCTTATGGTTGCTATCATACTATGAAGTATTAACAGCATAAAATTATGTCGTCTGCTGCTGTACAGTTTGTGTTATTCGTTGCTGCCTTTCCTGGTGTAGTTGTGTTCTTCGCTCTTTTTATTTTCAATCTGCATAGACTTATCAAGCTGCAGTTATTCCTTATTTGCGAAATTTGAGACACCTTTGTTGTCTTGTCTGCTACTGGGAAGGTTGAGATAACAAGTTTGTTATTTGCAGTATAGCACCTTAGATTAATCGAAAGGACCCAATGCATAATGTCCCTACAGAAGTAATCTTTGATGAGAACTAGTTTCGGGTATTTACATTTTGTGTGATAGATACTAAATTTATCATTTAGCCTCATATATATTTATTTTATTAATTGGTGACTTATTGGTATTGGACGCCACTTTGTATGTTATGCTTTAACGACGAGTTTTAGCTATATATTGTGGGACAATAGGACGATATTAATTCATAGAAATGATCGATGATATTGATGCTTTTGGAATTAACACATTACAATCTCATCCCATGGTTGATTGAGTTAATAACAAAGGTTGAGGTTTTTTGTTACATAGTTGAATTTTTGCTTTCAAATGTCGATTCACATATATCCGTAATGTGTTGTTTGTTACTAGGTTTGCTAAGACGGGATCCCCTTTGTGGAGTCGGAGCCAAATAGTTGGATTCTTTCTCTTGAATGAAATCCAAGTTTATGTTTTAGAGTTTCAAAAGGAATGGTGAAATCTTCGAAGCAGGTGAACTCAACATATTGGATATATACTGAAAGTTCGGTCATATTACAGCATGCATATAGTTGGTTCTTGAGTTTCGACTTACCTTATTGTTCTCATTGATTGAGATCCAAGAATTAAAGATTTATACTTATTTGCACTGCTAGTTGTAATTGGAGACAGACATTAGCGCTGTCAACGGGAGCCGGCGCAAGAAGCAGCGCAACCCAACGGCCACTTGGTTGCCCGGTACATTTCTATGAGATTCTAAAATTAATTTTTAGGATGTGTTTACTCTTATTTTTGTGATGTTTTTCATGTTTTAAATTTTGCATATCTAAAAGTGAAAATTTTGTAGTTAATATGATGTTTTTAATAAAAAGTATATATATACACTACAAGAAAATTTTGTAACGACGTTTTTTTGTTCCTAAATCCAATTTTTCCGTTACTAATGCTATTAGAGATGGAATTGGGGATAAAATTACGTTAGCTACGTGAACTTAAGGAACGAAATTTCGTTACAAATATATTATTTTTTTTGTAGTGATACTTACGTCCCAAAACTATAGTCCTATTTGGATTGGATACGAGATTTAAGGAATATTGATATTATATAGATAGCCAGTAAAAAGAATAGGTAAGATATTTTTGCCCTTGTCCGTCTATTAGTACGAAAAATAACGATATTTGTGTAATAATGATGAAAAAACAGTAGTTTATTGGTGATATGAATATTTATAAAAATAAAATTATTGTTTTGAAACGGATAAAATAGTAAACAAAAATGGAGGTTATACTCCTTCTCCGTCCTGCCACACAGATTAACCCTTTTTGTTTTTCGTCCGAACATAACTCATTTCTATTTTTTATAAATTTATTCATTTTTTAATAAATATAAATTAAATTTAATTACATTTTTAACTTCTTACGTGTAGGATCTATTCAAAATCTTTTTTTTTTCTTTCTCAATAAACAAATATTTTTATCTTGTTATTTTATTTTTTTATAAAACTAGTTTTAAGTTAATTATAAATAAATAAATATTTTTTTTATTTATATTATATAAAATTTTATTATGTATATAATTCTAAAAATATTTAAAATACTAACAATTAAAAAATAATATTATAATTTATTAATCTATACTATACCGTATATCTAATCAAAGTTGTCATCTGAGCAAGGACGGAGGGAGTGTTTAATATTTTATTAGAAAAATAGAATCATATTATACGAGTGTTTAATTTGCAAGAGAAAATCATACATGGTAATTAAGATGAGATTTTCAGTTCATATATGTATATGTTTATATATCAATTGTAGGACTTAAAAAGATGAATAAATATTCAATGTAGATTATTTATTTATTTTTGTGACATTTAGGGTGTGTTTGTTTGGAGATTGGATTTTAAATACACTATAAAAAATATTTTTGTGATATTTCATTTTTTTTCTTCAAAAATATCAAATCAATCACCTATTTTTCATTTTTTATATTATATTAAAAATTAATTTTATATTCAAAACATCACATAACATCAATTTATATCACATGATACAACTATTCAAATTCAAAATTTTTACTATTTAAATCCCAATTTAAAATCCAATCTCTCAGACAAACACACCCTGCCGATTGATATTAGTATGTACAAATATCTTTGTCGGTCCCCATGCATTTTTGGTCTATTCTTCGTCGAATGCGTTGAGTCATCTTTCAAAAGTTTCTACATCTTATCCTGTTGCTTCTCTCTTTTTTCGTATGATTTTGTTTTATATGCCTTTTGCATTGGGGTGATATTAGATAAAAATGACAGGTTTGTACATTATGTCACTCTAAAAAATAAATAAATAAATTCAATTTTAATAAAATATATTTTCTCTTATAGAGTATTTTTAAAATGATAAAAAAAATTATTTTATTCAAATAATATCATGTTTTAACAAATTATTTTATTGAGCAAACTAATTTTTAGTCCCTCTCAAATCCAAAATTTCAACTTTGGTCCCATTTAATATTTATATATAAAACTAGTTCTAACCATTTTTTTTGAAAAAATCATTTTTAGTCACACTGTTCAAATTTTAATGGATCGGACTGACTTGGCTGTTACGGATGCCAATTTGGCAGCTGGTTTGGATTAAACACGATCGTATTACATAGAAAACGGTTGTGTTTAGATGTGATACCCCCGAAGTTGGGCCGTTGATTGACAACTCCTGTGTGTGGATGAGCCGATATGAGGCCATTTGAAGTTGATTAGAGGTTAAATGGATTGAATAAATTACTCATGTCAACAATGTGTAAGCGTGCTTATTATACAGTGATTTCAAATTAACCACTCTACAATTATGACACGCTCGGTTTTGCGTGGCTTGCGGACCGATGTGTCACTTTAAAATTATAACTCATCTAATGTCATGACCGAATTAAAAATGGGTGTATTACCTAAAAAACGCTCGTGTTTAATAGTGTGTTTAAATATTAAACTAGGGCGTGTTATACAAGCACTCAGTTGCAGTGTTTGAACACAGCCGTGTTTAGTTCAAACACGCCTGTGTTCGAAGTTTGAGACCCACATGCACGTTTCAATGGCCGTATTATTGTGTTTCAATTACCATTTTTATAATACGATAAGTATATATTTTAAATTATAACAAAATATAAAATAGAAATAATAAACTAATAATATATTATATTTAATTAAAAAATTAGTTTATATAGAATAAACATAAAAACAAAACAGGAAAAGAGATAATATATATTCAATCTGAATGCCCTTAATCCATCAAATCATCACCTTTTTTGTCTCGCTGTAGTGTCCTCTGCTAGAGAGGGTGCATGTGAAAGCCGGCGCAATAGGTAAGGAAGCGAAAAATGTTCGTAAAGATTTGCAAACGATGATCTTATCTTCTCCTCCTTTATGACCTTTATGAACATTTTTCACTTCTTTACCTGCTGCTCCGGCCTTCAAATGCACTTGCCTTAACAGAGGACACTACGGTGAGACGGGAAAGTGATGATTTGATTGATGAAGGTCATTCAGATTGAATATATTATATATTTTCGTATTGTTTTGTTTTTATGTCTATTTTATGTAAATTGACTTTTTAATTAAATATATTATTAGTATATTATTTCGGTTACATATTTTGTTGTAATTAAAAATATATACTTATCATATTATAAAAATATTACTTGAAATACAATAACACGGCCACTGAACTAAAAAAGCCCGTGTTCAAACACTGCAATTGAGTGTCTGTACCTTTAAACACATGCATGTTCTTTGGTAACATGCCCGTGTTTAATTCAGTTATGGTATTGGATGAGTTGTAGTTTTAAATAAGGCCGTGTTCTATGTAACACGACCGTGTTCGGTTTGAGTCGGCTATCAAATCAGTATCTGTAACAGCCACGTCAGCC